CATTTAACAAATTAATAGTTTTTTCATTTTGGTAAATTGTAACAAAACATTTGCCATTTTAAGCATTTTCCAGTGTACAATTCAGTGATAATAATTACAGTCACCATGTTGTACAATCATCACCTCTGCCCATTTCCAGATGTCTTTATTTCCCTAAACAGAAACTCAGTGTAAGTAATAACTCTCCATTTCCACCCAGCCCTTGGTAACCACTAATAAACATTTGTCTCTGTGCAGTTGCCTGCAGTTAAATAGTATTACTGCCATTGCTTCAGTGTTTACGGTTAGATCTATTTGAATAGAAGTTATAATCTCATGTATTAAGTCAATTAAGGTCATTGATTCTAATTTTAAATTGAAGTTGACATTTAAAAAAGGAAAAACAATTTTTCATATTCAGAAATGTGTATTCTCTCTGATACGTACTAAAACTTGATAGTTAATATTTAAATTTTAAATCAAATTATAATAAAACTTGATGCTTGTATGAAAGAAAAAGTAATGTTCATTTACAGCTAATGTGTTAAAAGTTCATGCTACATAGCGCTTTTTAATTCCTTTCATATAGAAGATGATTTTCGATTGTTTCAACTCATTTTAATGGACCATTAAATAGAATATTTACTGTAGTAAATCATTTTATGTGCAACATACTGGTTAGTAGGGAGCTCTGGTAGCATAGTGGCTAAGGCACTTGACTGCTAACCAGAAGGCTGGCGGTTCAAACCCACCAGCCACTCCTCGGAAGGAAGGTTGGGCAATCCTACTTCTGTAGTGATACTGCCTTGGAAACCCAAGGAGGGGTCGCTATGAGTCAGGGCTGACTCAACGGCAAATGACAACGGCAACGACTGGTTAGTAAGAAAGTCTGTAGGTAATTATAATTTCTTCCACTAGGGGGCTGTCTTAGAAAGGCTTTTCCTTGTTTAATGTCAAGGTATTTATGTACGTGTTTCATGACAGTTGAATTTTTTCAGAATGAATTTCAGAAAAGAAATAGTAGTTACTAATTTCTCCCAGAATATATGCCACAATGTAATCTTTTCTGAAATATCAGGGAGGGATATTTTATAAATTTTGCCCCTTTGTCCCCTTCCTATCTTAATACAGATGAAATATTTTCTATTCTTTTTTAACTGTTAAAGGCTAGGCTCATAACAAAAATGTAAATAAAGCCTTTTTCTCTAGCTTGGCTTTACAACATTATCTTACATAATTATAACTACCACCCCCCCCCAAAAAAGCTCAGCAAGAATTTTTTTTTTTTTTAAAGAAACAGGTGTTATTTGAAAAGATGTGTCATAAACATGTATGTAGAGAAAGAACATTTTCTCAGATGAAGATTTTATTAGACATATACCACTAACCATAAGGAAACTATAGAATTAGGTTTTATCCTCCTAAGCCCAAGGGCCTTAACATTCTAATATTTTATGTTAGCAAAGTCCAAAGGAATAGCATGCAAGAATAGAAGATAATAGGAGCATGCTGAGGAATTAATTTAAGGAAACCATAGTACTAAGTGATTAGTATAAAGAATTGCTTGTATTTTGAGGTGAGGCCAGTTTGCACCTACTCCTCACTTATATAAGACTGTCTCATTATCGGATTGTTTTGTATATTAATGACAAATGTCTGGTGTTAACGAATGCCAAGGTGTGAGGAGAGAGTAACACTAGCTGTGGTGGTTGAGGTTATGTGTCAGCTTGGCTGGGCCATGATTCCCAATGATTAATGCCAATTTTCACGTAATATCCTGGTCTTTGGGAGCTAACCATGTTGGTAAGTGGGAGATGGGTGTATGTCTTTTATCTTGTCAAAACTATTGTCTTGGTTTAGTTATTTTCTGTCATACTTCATGTATAAAAATCACTAGAAACTAGATGCACTGCCATCGAGTCAGATCCGACTCATAGCGACCCCAGGACCTCATTAATAATACAAATGTCCAGGCTTTGGTCCCAGAGATGTTAATGGAATAGTTCTAGGGTGTGGCTAGAGCATTAGTAATATTTTAATAATATCTGCTCCCCACCCCCCAGTGTTACAGTGCAAACCAACCTGTTTTCTTTCTCAGAACAGTCACCTGCTAGTTCTATTACCTTGGACAAGTTACTTAACATCTCTGAGCCACATCTAAAAGAAGAGATAAATCTTTAAGATTGTTACAGGGATTAGATTAATTAATATATACCAAAAAACCAAACAAGTTGCCATTGAATCACTTCCAACTCGTAGCAACCCCATGTGTGTCAGAGTGCAACTGTCCTTCTTAGAGATTTCAGTGGCTCATTTTTCAGAAGAAGAATCAATGAAGGGGGAGGACTTTCTTCCAAGGTGCTTTTGGGTGGACTTGAATCTCCAGCCTTTCAGTTAGTAGCTATAATTGTTTGACTACCCAAGAACTCCAATTAATATGTAGGATAATGGTGGTAGCAGTGCTTGGCTCACAGGATGCATTCAGTAAACTAGATACCCTCTGTATTACACATGGAACTTTTGCCATCTGAACCTTACCAACCTTGCCACCTAATCTTTTCCATCATTACAGATACATCTGTTCCAACCGTATTAGGTTACTTGTTCACTAAGTAAGTGAATCTTTGAGGCTTCTGTACCTTTGTTTACATTCATCATCACTTACCCTTGGAATGCCTTCTGCTGCTTCCCCTTTAATAATTTCTTGTCTGTCAAGACTGTTCAGTTGTCATCACTTCCATGATGACTACTCTTACTCCTGCATTGCCTGCCTCCACCACACATACTCTTCACTTCACTCCGTCCAGTTCACTCTCACTGAACGACACATGCCATAATGAGAAGCACATGTATTCTGTATGCACACATGCATGTGAATCCTGACAGCCTCTTTCTAACTGTGAGTTTTGAAAAAGTCCTTTTTGTTTTTAATGTGCAAAATTTGAGATATAAAGGGGATAACGTAAGTGAAATACCTAGTCAAGGGCCTAGCACCTAAATATTCAGTAAATAGTATTTGTTCCTGTTGTCGTAATGATTTTATGTATCTTTCTCCTTCGTCTTTCTGTCTTCAGTATCTAACATTGACATTTAATGGATTCTCAGTAATTATTTGGTGAAGGAATGAATGAATCTATGAATAAATGATAACTACACAAAAGACATTTGGAGAACTATCAAATACCATTTAAAGGTTTTACCTGCATTTGAGTGCTAAATTTTCTGACAGGAAGCCTACATAATATGTATTTCAGATTTTATTAGAGTATAATTATGTAAAGCTAAGTTAAACCAATTCAGCAAAAGACAAATTTAACTTTCAGTGCTCTTACGAGTACAGAAATTATCAAACAGCATCATTAATACCACATGCAAGTAAGGTTTTGCTGAAAATAATTCACAAATGGTTGCAGCAGTACATGGACAGGAAGCTGCCAGAAATTCCAGCCAGATTCAGGAGACGACGTGGAATGAGGGATATCATTGCTGATGTCAGATGGATCTTGGCAGAAGTCAGAGAATACCAGAAAGATGTTTACCTGTGTTTTATTGACTGTGCCGAGGCATGCAACTGTGAGATCATAAAAAATTATGAAAACATAGTTTGAAGAATGGGAATTCCAGAACACTTAAATTGTGCTCATAAAGGAACCTATACATAGACTAAGAGGCAGCTGTTCAAACAGAACAAGGGGCCACTGTGTGTGGTTTAAAATCAGGAAAGGTGTGTGTCAGGATTACATCTTTCCCCGACACTTACTCAGTCTGTATGCCGAGCAAATAATCTGAGAAACTGGACTATATGAAGAGTGCAGCATCAGAATTGGAAGAAGATTCATTAACAACCTGGCAATATGCAGGTGACACAACCTTGCTTGCTGAAAGTGAAAATGAGTTGAAGCATTTAGTGATAAAGATCAGAGACTACAGCCTTCAGTTTGGATTACACTTCAATATAAAAATATCAAAAATCCTCACAGTTGGACCAGTAAGCAACATCACGATAAACAGAGAAAAGATTGAAGTTATCAAGGATTTCATTTTACTTGGATCCATAGTCAGTGCCCATGGAAGTGTTGTCATTGTTATTTGCCGTCGAGTCAGACCTGACTCATAGTGACCCCTCCTTGGGTTTCCGAGGCAGTATCACTACGGAAGTAGATTGCCCCATCTTCCTTCTGAGGAGTGGCTGGTGGGTTTGAACCACTACCCTTCTGGTTAGCAGTCAGGTGCCTTAGGCGCTATGCTACCAGAGCTCTCGCCCATGGAAGTAGCAGTCAAGAAATCGAAAGACATACTGCACTGGGAATATCTGTAAAAACCCCTTTAAAGTGTTAAAGAGCAAAGATGTCACTTTGAAGACTAAGGTACTCCTGACCCAACCCATGGTATTTTCACTAGCCTCATATACATGTGGAAGCTGGACAATGAATAAGGAAAACTGAGGAAGAATTGATGCAAGTGGATTGCAGTGTTGGCAAAGAATATTGAAAATACTATGGACTTCCAGAAGAATGAGCAAACCTGTCCTGGAAGCAGAGCAGCCAGAATGCTTATTGGAGGTGAGAGTTGCCAGGTTTCATCTCTTGTACTTTAGTCATGTTATCAGAAAGGACCAGTCCCTGGGGAAGGATAAAACGGAGGATCAGTGTAAAAGGGGAAGACGCTCAAAGAGATGGATTGACACAGTGGCTACAACAGTGGACTCATCCGTAGCAACAAGTGTGAGGATGGTGTAGGGCTGGGCAGTGTTTCATTCTGTTGTACATGGTATCGCTGAGAGTCGGAAATGACCTGACAGCACCTAACAACAACAGCAATAATGAATTAGGGAAATGCCAGGCTGTTAATGTTGGTTGGTTTAAAGTTTAAGTTCACATTTATCCTTTACAATAAAGGCCATCATGATTTGAAGTACAGTTTCAGATGATTTATCAGAATCAAATTTTAATAATGTATTTGATGTAAGGTGGTGGTTTCATAAAACAGCTCTCTGATTTTCAAAATTTTTCTTATTGTAGCAAAAGTTCATTGAATTGGATGAAAATAGACAGAGACTATTGCAGAAATGCAAGGAACTTATGAAGAGAGCTAGGCAAGTATGCAACCTTGGTGCAGAGCAGACTATTCCTCAGGAATACCAGACAGTAAGTATAAAATGTATAGAATGTCTCAGGAACTGAATTTAACACCATCCTTTAAAGCTAACAGTGTTAGCATACCACAGAAAATGTGATGTGCCATGTAAAAAGCACAGGGTTTTTCCATTTTTATGCTGAATATCTGTATAATTTTGCTTAATAGATATTCTCTTTTCACACTCAAGGTTAATTAGTTTTACTGCTTAGTACTAAAATTCTTAAAATGTTTGTTAACTTGCAAAATTATTGGTACAATAAAATTCATTGTTCTGATAAAAGGGTAGACTTTTATCCCCTAAGCTACCTACCAAAAGGGTAGAGTTAGGAGGTGGGATGTAGGTATGTTAGAAATAGTAACCAGGGTTGATATTTAGAAAAACTAAGGTGAAATATTTTCCTAGAAATTGGGATGTTTAATTAATTGAGCTGAATCTTTATGGCTAACATTTGCCAATAAGGAAAGATAAAAAGAGCCTCTCTTTATTTCTGTTATATGCTTATATATTAGTATTATGTATTGTACGTTAGCTAATACATGTATTCGGGAGCTCTGGTAGCGTAGTGCGTAAGGCACTTGACTGCTAACCAGAAGCCTGGCAGTTCAAAACCACCAGCCACTCCTCAGAAGGAAGATGGGGCAATCTACTTCCGTAGGGATACTGCCTCAGGAACCTAAGGAGGGGTCACTATGAGTTGGATCCTACTCGAGGGCGCATAACAACAACAACAATAATATATATTAGCATTAGTAAAATGCAGAAATGCTACCCTTTATTCCAAGTTTCACCATAATAATTACATAGCCTTGTGACACTAGGCTATGTCTGACAAGTTGGAACGATATTGTGCCTGTATACGTACTCTCAGAACAATGTCAAAATAAAATGAGAAAATAGATAGAAAATGAATTTTTACATACCTGATGTTTGTATGGTTTTTCATCCTTAATTTTAAATGTTATCTATTTTAGTAGATAATAAAATATCTATAACTTTATAAACAGAACTAGAAAAAGACTAAATTCGCAGGGGACATCAAGCTCAATTGGCATAACATACTATGCAAAACATTGTTCCACCTACTACTTTGGCGAGTAGCGACTGGGA